CTCCACCCCTGCAGGAAGCTAGGTAGCCCCTGGGGGAGTGGCCCTGCCATGTGTGCCCCACCCCTGACCAAAACCTCTGTCCTCCTCTCTTCACCCAGGACGAGAACATCATGAGCTCCATGCAGCTGTTTGAAAATGTCATCTAGGACACGCATGTGGGACCCTGGGCTGGCCTTACCACCCCCAAGCCCCAGAGAAACTTCATCCTGCCAGGAAGAGCCTCCTTGAGAAACTTTTTTCTAATGTATTTACAAAAATGAACTCTTTGCTCCAGATGCCCCCTCCACACATATTCCTCTGGGCTGGCAGGGGAAGGGCCAAGTGTCAGTATGGCTTCCTGGAGAAGTTTCTGAGGTGGACGAGGAAAGAGGTCCAGGTCCCTTGTAGAGGACAGCCCATTTCCAGAGCCAGTACGCCTTGTGGGGCAGCCTCTTTTCCTCTCTCCCTCCCTTTATCTCCTGCTCCCTCCCCTCTCTCTCCTCTCCCCCCCCCCCCCCCCCCCAGCCACCTTGCCTAGTCCCATTCTTCCCAGGTTATGGTATCTCCTCTGTCCTTCTCCCCTTTACTCTCCCTCTCCCCTGAGCCATTCCTTCTGCCTCCCCTAATCACAGGACCCTGGAAGGAGCAGGTTGGGAACCAGGACAGGTCTGACTGGGAAAGAGGTTGAAGATGAGGGCAAGGTCTGCTTCTCGGCCCTGGGACTACTGACCTGGGCAAGGTCAGTCCACTCTGTGCCGACCGGTGGGCACGGGGCTCCCTTAGGTGGTAGGGGGTACTGGACTGCTCTTTGAGAGAGAGAGGGCCTTTGAAATTCAGGATTGGTTTCTTGGTGCAGGATCAGAGGGGAACAGTTTTCTGTTTCTATTAGGGTGGGGAGAAGTCCACCTTGCCCCAGTCCCACCTCAGGGAGGGCCTGCCTGAGAGTTGGGGGGCCACTCATGCCCCTCAGCCTTCACACTTGAGGATTTGTTTGCCCCAGGTCCTTCCTGGTCCTAGAACAAGGCTGGGGGGTTCAGGAGCTCCCAGCAGGATGTCCGGGCAGGGCTTCAGAGCCAGGACTGAGAATGGGGTCCTCTTCCCCTGTGCTTTTGTCCCTCCTTGTCCCCTGACTCAGCAGCTTGGCTGACACCCCTCTCCTGAAGCCATGATGCTCCCTCTGACGGCTCCTCCCCCCACCCCTCCCCACCCTGGCACAAGAAGCACAAGCACAGTTCAGGACACCACCACGAGGGGGCACAGGATCGGTTCTTCTGAAGTAGAGCCTCCAGCAACCCTGATACAGGAGTGCTACAGGAAAGACTCAGGGTCAGCCTGAGCCGTTTCGGGGCTCAAGCCCAGCCCAGCCCATCCACCATCACTCAAAAGCACAAGCCCTGGGGAGCGAGCAGCTGGCTTCCACTTTAGGGAAGGGGCAGCCTGATCAGTAAGGCCTGCAGATGCCCACACATCGCTGGACTTGGGAGGAGAAAGAAGGCCCGCCTGGAAGGATCGCAGCCCTGGGCAGTGAGGCCTTCCCACCTGGGCGGGGGAGGGAAATTCCCACACGATACATTCCGTAGGCTGCTGCTTCATCTCTGCACAGGTCCGATCCCGGGATTCTCAGTGCCCCCCTAGAAAGCACATGCCATCTGGCCCTGGTAAACAGGGTCCTCAGAGGACAGGTGGAAGGAGGAGGCCCAGGGGACCTAGCCATGCTTGGCACTGGGGGCCCTATGGTGCCCACATTTTCCCCTTGGAGTTGCACTGACCCCATCTCTGTCCTGACACAGCCCCCCTCACCTCCTCGAGGAGGGCGCCCACATTCCCAGCTCAGGGACCTCCCGACACTTAGCCCCTCACGGTGCCAAGACCCTGGAATGGGGGCTCTACCAGGCCCTGCCCTATGTGTCCACAAGAGGACTGTCCCCATCAAGGGGCAGAAGCAGACTGGTCGCATGTCTGGATGGCAGTAGCGTCTCCCTTGGGTTGGGCTAGGGCTGCTTCCCATTCTCAGTGTCCCCTAACATTCAGTCTGGTATATTTTAATAAAATAAACTTAACAAAGGAAGAGGGACCATGCTTGCCTTTATGCGACCCTGATCTCCTGTCTGGCCCTTCTGATCCCCGCTGCTGGTCACCCCACCGCTGCCCAATCTGAACAGGACGTTTGACTGGTGCAGGGATGGGACGTGTGGGCCTGCCACCCTGGCCGACATCCACGCTTGGTTGGCTCTACGTCCTGGCCTCTCTAAGAGGCGCCTGTCGACAGCATGACTTCCTGAGTCACCGTCTGTGCTTAGTGATGTACCGTTGTCCTGGGTCAGTCCCAGGAAGTGGCCCTAGCTTCCCCTTTGTCTGGAAGGTGTGAATCAGAGGGCCAAAGTGCATTTACCTTTTCTGGGTTTTATTTTCAAGTGTAAACTCAGAGGGAGGAGAACTGAGTGGTGTCTGGCAGGTGCCAGTGAGTCCCCAGCCTGGGGACAGAAAGAAGGGGACAGTGCCATAGGGGACCCCCAGGCCATGCGACCCCACAATGACCCCAGACCCAAGCATCTGTGGATCACTAGGGTTTTCTGATGGGCACATGGGCGGGGCTGGGAGAGCAGAGTTCAGGAGCCCCTTCCAACCCTAAGTGGGGCACCTGGGAAGCCAGGGCCTTGGCACAGTTTAGGTATGAACTCTGTCATTGGTGTTGGGATGGGATGACTCAAGTTTGCCCTGGGCCCTGCTGAGCTGAGTGGGACGAGCACGTGTGGGCTGATGCTGGCTGATGGGAGGGCTCCTTTTCATTCAGGAGAAGTGGCCGGTGGAGTCCTCAGGCCTGGTATAGGCGCTGCACTGCCCAGCACATGATGGGCACAGCTCAGCGTGAGGGGAAGCCCTCTCCCCACCCCACCCCCTTTTGTTTCTCTCTCATCTTCTCTCTGACTTCTTGTCCTGGGCACTACACACACAGGTGGGGTGGCCAGGCTGTGAGCACAGCACACAGGAGGGGTGGCCAGGTTGTGGGTGCTACACACAGGAGGGGTGGCCAGGCTTTGTTCTTCTGTGTAAGCTACTGGCTGTGAGGGACCGGGGCCTGGCCTCAGGGTCAGGAGACATGGGTCCTGACTGGGCCACAGGACTGTCTTAAAGCCTTGGAGGCGGCTGTCCTCTTTCTTGGTCTCAATTGGTTTCTGTGTCCCTGACTGACTGATTGACTGTGAGAAATAAAGGCCTCCAGGTACGTGGACATTGTAGCCAAGACTAAGACACATAGTGATCCTATAAATAACAGATCTGAACTCTGCCCTGTTCTGCATCATCTTCAGCATCTCTGATATGCTCAAGTCCATTGCTGCTGTCACCACAATTCATTCTGTTGTGGTCTTATCTTTCTCTGAGCCCCCACCTTTCCCAGTGTAAGATCCCTTTCCCTCCAGACTAGCAAACTCCTTCTGAAGAGAGAACCCAGGCAGAGTGGGAGCAGGCTGGGTGCAGAGGAGAGCACACCAGGTGAACTGGGGAGTGTGCGGGGAGCTCAGGAGTGACTTTTATGCTGCTGAGAAACTAGGACCATGGCAGTTCTTGTGCATGACTGTGGCTGGGTGCGGGGAGGGGAGGGCAGAAAGGGAACAGAGCTGTGGCCACCCCAAAGCATCTTCTACACTGTGGCCTTGGCTGGGTTCCTTGGAAGGTGTCGTACTTTTCTGTGCCCCCCGCCCCCCCCCACCTGACACCTGTCCTGCACATTCTGCACAGACAGACAGACAAACAGACAAACAGCTGCCACAGGAGTTGCATGGCACTTAATATTGGAGACGGTGACAATGATGACCAGACACTCTTTTAAGCATTTCGCATGTACTAACTAATTCATTGATTTCTCATAGTTGGCCTATTCCTCAGATGTGGAAACTGAAGCACAGAGGAAATATCTTTCTCAAACCACACAGTCTCCAACGTAGCCAGGATTCAAGCGGCCCTTCCTTGCATTCCCATTGTGTCACAGTCTCCCAGATGCCAGCTTCTCAGTGACCCCAGATGCCAGCAGCTGGGAAGATGCTGTTGTGAGGTAGACCAGCTGTCTGCAGAGCTCTGCCCTTACACCAGGCATTGTTTGTGCAGGGGTTCAGCATCTTTACCTACTAATGACCCCAAACAAGATAGGCCCAACTGCATGATACCACATTGCCTGTACACAAGCCCTGTGTGATGTGACTGCACAACCACTGATGAACCCCTCTGCCTCTCTGGAGGCCATGTGGGCCTACACACAGCACCAGCCCCAGGCTTTCCTGTGTACTCCAAGCTATGGTCTCTGTATCAGAACCTGAAGAACCTTCTAAAGGAACCCCAGTTCAACAACTGGCTCCTGGGAGCCGGAGTTTTACCCTCAAGATCATTGTTAACATGTCAGGTGCCCACACAGTCCATTCTTGAGGTGAGTGATTTTTGCTTCTCACTCAGCAGGGAACGTACACCCTTATTCAGTACCAAACAGATTCACAACTGAGTAGTTAGGGGAGATGAAGCTCAACCCTCACAGAGAGAGGACACTGGACAGCCCTTCCCTCATGAGATCACCAGCCAGAACTTGTTGGGCTTTTAGCAGTGACTTTCTTCAGGTCATAATTGCTTCCTTACTTGCTGACAAGTTGCTCAATAGAGCAACTGTTGTGTTGTTGTTATGTGCCGTCGAGTCGCTTGTGACTCATAGCGACCCTATGTACAACAGCCCTAAACTCTGCTCTGTCCTGTGCCAATCGCACTGTCT